TTATTGTCCTCATCTTTTGTTGCCATATTTATTACAACGTTTCGGCCTTTCAGTATCTGTCTATATTTCTGAGATGAGGTATTATGTACATTATTTACATTATTCTGACTATTGTCCTCATCTTTGTCGCCATATTTATTACAAAGTTTCGGCCGTTCAGTATCTGGCTATATTTTCTGAGATGAGGTATTATGTACATTATTTACATTATTCGGATTATTGTCCTCATCTTTTGTTGCCATATTTATTACAACGTTTCGGCCTTTCAGTATCTGTCTATATTTCTGAGATGAGGTATTATGTACATTATTTACATTATTCTGACTATTGACCTCATCTTTGTCGCCATATTTATTACAACGTTTCGGCTGTTCAGTATCTGTCTATATTTCTGAGATGAGGTATTATGTACATTATTTACATTATTCGGATTATTGTCCTCATCTTTGTTGCCATATTTATTACAACGTTTCGGCCTTTCAGTATCTGTCTATATTTCTGAGATGAGGTATTATGTACTTTATTTACATTATTCTGACTATTGTCCTCATCTTTGTCGCCATATTTATTACAACGTTTCGGCCGTTCAGTATCTGTCTATATTTCTGAGATGAGGTATTATGTACATTATTTACATTATTCGGATTATTGTCCTCATCTTTGTTGCCATATTTATTACAACGTTTCGGCCTTTCAGTATCTGTCTATATTTCTGAGATGAGATATTATGTACATTATTTACATTATTCTGACTATTGTCCTCATCTTTGTCGCCATATTTATTACAACGTTTCGGCCGTTCAGTATCTGTCTATATTTCTGAGATGAGGTATTATGTACATTATTTACATTATTCTGACTATTGTCCTCATCTTTGTCGCCATATTTATTACAAAGTTTCGGCCGTTCAGTATCTGTCTATATTTCTGAGATGAGGTATTATGTACATTATTTACATTATTCGGATTATTGTCCTCATCTTTGTTGCCATATTTATTACAACGTTTCGGCCTTTCAGTATCTGTCTATATTTCTGAGATGAGGTATTATGTACATTATTTACATTATTCTGACTATTGTCCTCATCTTTGTCGCCATATTTATTACAACGTTTCGGCCTTTCAGTATCTGTCTATATTTCTGAGATGAGGTATTATGTACATTATTTACATTATTCTGACTATTGTCCTCATCTTTGTCGCCATATTTATTACAAAGTTTCGGCCGTTCAGTATCTGTCTATATTTCTGAGATGAGGTATTATGTACATTATTTACATTATTCGGATTATTGTCCTCATCTTTTGTTGCCATATTTATTACAACGTTTCGGCCTTTCAGTATCTGTCTATATTTCTGAGATGAGGTATTATGTACATTATTTACATTATTCTGACTATTGTCCTCATCTTTGTCGCCATATTTATTACAACGTTTCGTTATTTCAGTATCTGTCTATATTTCTGAGATGAGGTATTATTATGTACATTATTTACATTATTCTGACTATTGTCATCTTTGTCGCCATATTTATTACAAAGTTTCGGCCGTTCAGTATCTGTCTATATTTCTGAGATGAGGTTATTATATACATTATTTACATTATTCGGATTATTGTCCTCATCTTTGTTGCCATATTTATTACAACGTTTCGGCCTTTCAAAATCTGTCTATATTTCTGAGATGAGGTATTATGTACATTATTTACATTATTCTGACTATTGTCCTCATCTTTGTCGCCATATTTATTACAACGTTTAAGGCCGTTCAGTATCTGTCTATATTTTTCTGAGATGAGGTATTATGTACATTATTTACATTATTCTGACTATTGTCCTCATCTTTGTCGCCATATTTATTACAAAGTTTCGGCCGTTCAGTATCTGTCTATATTTCTGTGATGAGGAAAATGTACATTATTTACATTATTCGGATTATTGTCCTCATCTTTGTTGCCATATTTATTACAACGTTTCGCCCTTTTCAGTATCTGTCTATATTTCTGAGATGAGGTATTATGTACATTATTTACATTATTCTTCATGACTATTGTCCTCATCTTTGTCGCCATATTTATTACAAGGTTTTAAACCGTTCAGTATCTGTCTATATTTCTGAGATGAGGTATTATGTACATTATTTACATTATTCTGACTATTATCCCTCATCTTTGTCGCCATATTTATTACAACTTTTCGGCCGTTCAGTATCTGTCTATTTTCTGAGTTGAGGTATTATGTACATTATTTACATTATTCGGACTATTGTCCTCATTTTTTGTCGCCATATTTATTACAACGTTTCCGGCCTTTCAGTATCTGTCTATATTTCTGAGATGAGGTAATATATAATATTTACATTATTCGGACTATTGTCCTCATCTTTGTCACCATATTTATTACAACGTTTCGGCCTTTCAGTATCTGTCTATATTTCTGAGATGAAGTATTATGTACATTATTTAATTATTCGGACTATTGTCCTCATCTTTGTCGCCATATTTATCACAACGTTTCGGCCGTTGTACGCTCCGGCCTTCTTCAGGTTGTTGGAATTTCCAACTGAACCCTTTATTTCGCTCACTGGGGTGGACTGTTCTAGGAGACATGGCACAGTGGATAAAGGCGTTGGTTAGATCCAGTGACAGGACCCAAAGAGTGTGAGTTCAATACCCGTTTACGACAGTGGAGAACCTTCAGAGGGAAATTAGCAGGATATAACTGATAACTGACATCCATCAAACATGGCACGTGGAACTAAAACAGTCTACCCCAGTGAGCGAAATAAAGGGTTCAGTTCAAAATTCCAACCACTTGAGGAAGGCCGGAGTGTACAACGGTTTGTGATGAATATGGCGACAAAGATGAGGACATTAGTCCGAATAATGTAATCCGGAGAAATATTATGTTTTCAAAAGTTAAAACATTGAAGAACCTGTATCACCACTGTCAAACACTGGAATTCATATATGTTGTGGATTCCGAGATGAATTCGGTCTCCAATGAAAAACAAACGCAATAATTAAATATAAGAAATAAAATGTATTTACACAATCATACAAAGGGTAACACTGTTAGTAAATCCAGGAACACGGTTAGTACCAAATACATATAGATATATACAGTCTCGAAGTAGGACTTCCTTAGAGTCTACGTGCTTGTAACTGACTTCTACAAGAGGCTAACTCACACACTCCGTTCGTATATTCTCTCTCTCTCTTCCGACTACCCTCTCACTATCCGACTACTCTCACTGACAGTCTAACTTTGGGTATTTAACGGCAGCCGTCCAAGTAACACTGGTAGAGTCTACATATGAAAAAGAGGTTGACCCCATAACAATATATCATTTTTTTGTCTTGTTCAGAATAATTTACCAACAGGAAACAACGATAAATATTGTCAGATACATTTTAATCGTTAAAAGTATTTGAAATCAACTTGTAAAATATGATTACAATTTTAGAATTTAATAAGCCAAAAATCCAACCACAATCTCACAAAACAGTTACAATAAGAAAAAAAAACTAATGTGGGTTTGACTAATTCAAATCTCAGACTCGACCCGTAATTAAGAATCTGGTATGAGTTTTAAATGATGTTCACCACAGACCATGAAATTAAATTAACTATGGAAGTTTTCCCATGAAGATATAACCCTTCATCTGAAGCAACTACAACAAGTGAATACCAAAAACGGTCTTTCTACTACTGTAGTAGGTGACACACTTTTCGATTATGCCAAAATAGACTGACCTCAGTGTCCCACGGAGGTTTCACAAACAGAGGCGCATCGCCAGACCACACAAAATGTTAGTGGCTACCACTGATATGTAAACGTGTGGTCGTCCCAGCTGTACTTGAAATATGAATACAGATGACAGGTAGGAATATAAGTACTCACCAGAGAGGAGTAAAAGAAAGAGAGTTCTTTTTAGAACCTAACAAGAATGTATAATCCATGTTCAGAGAAAACATCAAAGCCTACCACACGCTGACTGTAATTGAAGAAAACCGAAGAAGAATGAACAAAAAATGTTACACATGATAGATTGTCTCTTGTTTTTATTAATCTGTATACATTAACATTACACAAAACATTAGATAATTCCGTAATGTATATCCAGAGTAGCAAGAAATGATTGATGAAAAAGAATTTAAATTCTGAAAGGATGTTATTTAATTCTTAATTATATTCTTGAGCTAAGAGTAAACAGGAGTTTATAAATGTAGAGCCCGATTTTGATCTAAAAGAGATGAAAAAATTATACAGTTGTTCTAAAATTTTCTTGTCTTTTGTCGGAAGATTGACATAACAAAGAGTTAAAAGCAAAACATTTTATATTTGTATAACATCTGGTATTAGCAGGTTTTACCGTCATATCACGTTAAAGCACCAATCGTCTGATCATCAAATAAACGTCGAGATGGTCAGTATCTAAATTGGTAACCGCTCGGTAAAAGCAGGAATTGCAAGTTTGGATATGCGAGTGGTGTAATAGATAACGGCTCGGAATTGGTAATCGAAGTACCGAGTTCCAATTCCAGTTCGGTTCATTATATTCAGTTATACGCAAATACCGTTGGAAAACGTGTGAATGCACTTCGTCTTCATTCATTGCCATAAAAGACGGTTTGATATTACATATCATTTCAATAATATTTTCTTTGTTTCTAACGAAATTTTTCTGTCTCTTAATACTTTGTTTAGCTTTTACAAGGCATCTTTCGTTATTCCAATTGGCCATTTCGTTTGTCACATATTCTCTCGTCTATTATACTACTTCTCATTTAGTCTTACGGCCACATCACGTTCAATCACTGGTTCCCTAAGAGTAAACAGGAGTTTATAAATGTAGAACCTGATTTTGATCTAAAAGAGATAAAAAAAAAAATATAATGTTGTTCTCAAACTCTCTTGTCTTTGGTCGGAAGATTTACAGAAAAAGGCTATTCTTAAATGCGAAATCTTTTACATTCGTATAAATTCTATTATTTGCAAGGCCATATCACGTTGAAAACATTCGTTCTCATATAATCACCGAAGTGAAGCAATATCGATCTTGTTTAGTATCTAGATGGGTGACCGCTTGGGAATGTCGGGTACTGTAAGCTTGAACATGCGGGGGGGTGCTGTGATTGATAAAGGCCCCCCCCCCCGGAATTGAAGATCTGAGAGCCGAGAGCCAATTCGTGTCGGGTGGCCGTTATATTTAGTAAGCATTAATATCTTTGAAACCTTCTCCCTGCTATGGTCTAATTAATAGGACTTTTATCAGTAAATAAGGTTTACCTATCCTCTGGTTCACACTCCTAACCGGTATTTTGAATAGGAATAGCGGCTTATCCATTGATTACTGTTTAGGATTGGGTTTCAGGGTCGTTTTGAGGTTTTCTCATTACACTTTCAGTAGCCCCCTGGCGTCTTAGAGGCCTTATCGTCTTCCTGGATAACGGTCCCACATAATTCATGAAATCTAAAAATATTTTCTGGCTTTAAATAACCTGCAAATGATTGATAACCCGTAAAAAAATAGATCAATTATAACTTTTATTAGCAGAAAAAATCGACAGTAGGTTTTTTTTTCTTTCTAGTGAAGCAGGGGACTATTTAGATTTTTGCAGGCCTGTGTACATGCAAGTAGCATCTACTAGGCCATTGATATATTCAAACGATGATGACTTGTTTAAATTCCAAGCCTGTTTTTCTTGTCCTTTCTCCCCGTTCTATTCTTTCATATTCGTTTATCATGGCGTCATAAACCAGGCAAGACAGGGTGGAAATGCAATAAGATTTCTGTCGTTGTGACAGGCATCTTCGCAAAAGAAAATAGGGAAGATAGGTTAGTTTGCTTATTAAATTACACCTGCCTTAACCATATTGAAATCTGCAATAAGTTCCTGAATGTCTGCAAAAATGTCAGGGTACATAACACAGAGCAGATGACTAATTACAAGGCGCATGCGCACTGCGGCAATAGGTGACTTTAAGAAAATACAGACGATTCAAAAAAAATTAAATTCTGAATTCTAAATTTTGGTCAGTTTTCATTAAGTTGGGTTACTGTTATCACTTGCATGTCGAATAACATTTGACATTTAAGTTAATTTAATGAAATTTGTAGGGGAAAGAAGTCATTCTCTCCAATAGCCTTCAGCCATTGAACAGTTTACGTGATCGTTAATGAAAAATCCAGGTCTCGTGCTGCACACAGACACAGTTACATACATACACACACACACTTACATACACACATACAGACACATATACATGCATACATATATATAGACATATAACTAATATATATATATATATATATATATATATATATATATATATAACTAATATATATACATATATATATATATATAACTAAGATATATATATGTGTGTGTGTGTGTGTGTGTGTGTTATATTTTCCTTTACTTCTGTTTATATATATATATATATATATATATATATATATATATATATATATATATATATATTAAAATAAAACAGACCACTTTAAGATTCAATGTAATAAATTATTTCACCACAGCCCTTTTAAAAGACTTGCGGCTCATCAGACTTTAGGTTTGCCCATACGGATTATCTAGTTTTCATAAATATATATATATATATATATATATATATAGAGAGAGAGAGAGAGAGAGAGAGAGAGGGTACTCCCCCAAAAAACTGCTAACACTTAAAATGACAAGGAATGCAGTTTTATTAACTTGCAAACTAGATATGAAGATAAACTACATCCGGTAACAATGAAATTAGAACTTTTAAGAAAAATGGAACCCCCTCTTAATTGCTTTTATTTACAAGTTCTCCCGGACTGATAGCAATTGCTATAGACCCAGCTCTGGGCAAATAGAGAAACCCCAAACAAGAACACTATGAAAGTATAAACATACAGATTTATAGTAAAATGACCCGCAATACATTTCATTTGTATACAGTTGCGTTCAAATTATTTATATTTACGTATTAAATAACCCATTGAATTTGATGTGCCGCTAAATAAAACCAACCAACCATTCAATCAACGAAACAACGAACCATGAAATAACATTTTCATTACATTAATCCATATAATATCCGACTGTTTAAAAATCAAACTGTATTCTAAAATATATATTCAACAAAATTATAACATAAAACACAAACATCACCGCCTATATTAATTATGTCCACAGAAAAATGTATATACACAAAAGCTCAGGATCATCTGTATTCAATTGTGAAAACAGAATAATATATCCATAGTATTTCAAAGCTCACAAGAATAGTAAATTTCAGCATTAAATGACCCATAAGGTGTTGATATGCTTTTAAACAACGAATCAATGAATTACTTGCAAACAAGATGTTTAAAATTAAGAAATATTAATGTTTGCTGACTTACAAAGAATATTAACCGTTTAAGTTAAGTGTTAAATGTACTTTTGTAAGTATGTAAACTGACGAAAAAAGTTATAAAGTCAGTAATTATATATATATATATATATATATATATATATATATATATTGCCTGTGTGTTTGTGTATGTGCGTGTGTCCCAGCTATGTGTAAATAGTAGGACAGGCCTGGTTCTAAAGCCTTGGATGGCAACTGGTCTGGGAAAAGGACAACTCTGAATTCAAAACCTGCAGAGGGTCGTTTGGGGACCTTGTGGCACATAGTGCATCAGGTCTCTGTATTCAGCCCTTCAAAAGTGTGGATGGTTCTGCACAAAGCCTTCCACAACTATAATCAAATCTCATGTGCTGTTGTTGGGCTGTCGGTTTCCTAGAACTGATCTGCTTGACCCTCATACGTCGAATTCGACGGTAGAGTAGAGATATATATATATATATATATATATATATACATATATATATATATATATATATATATATATATATATATATATATATATATATATATATATTGTCATCCACAGACAGACTGTTTTGCTGTATCACTGTTCATCAATGTGGCTAGATTTCCGGTTGACTCTAACTAGAATAGAACCCCGGCTGAATTTGCGTCAGTCGGAGATTTTACCCCTAAGCAGTTGGCCTACGGCAGAGAAGAAGGTGAATTTAAGCGTATTTATTTTTAAATAAATCCACAGTGACTAAGAAAACTCGATTCGATTTATCGAAAAAAGTCATGCATTATTAGCCGTAATAGCCTCTGTTTACAAACCCACACTTCCCCAGCAGGGCTCAACCATATATATATATATATATATATATATATATATATATATATATATATATATATATATATATATATATATATAAATATAAAACAAAATTCATGTTTCCAAGGTTACAGATAAATCTATTTTTTCTAGACAGGGGGGGCTGGGTTTTCAATATATCTATAATTTAATGTATGGGTTATTGCTACGTTTGGGTCGTGGGAAGGGATGTATTTTTCAATGAAATCTAACTTCCGTTAAAAGCCTGTCGTCTAGATTTTTTTTTAAATTATATTGTTAACGGCAAAAATTCTTATGGCATTTTTTTTCGTTCGTATATTTAAAGACTTTTTATTTAAATATTTCTAAAGTCAAATTTTTCATATTTAAAACCCATTAATTTTTTAAAAAATTTAAAAGTTACTCCAAAATTCGCTTGAGGATGAAATGGAACTAATGTCTTTAATTTAATCACAAAATTAAATTCGGGGCTTTTAGCTTCAATTTTTGAAACATGGTTAGAACTGAGTAGCGAAAAAAACATATTTTAAATCAATTAATTTATAATATTAATGCTCTGTAAATTTACATTGAGCACTATTTTGTAAAAGTAAAAATATCTATAAGAACACCGGATTATATATGTTGCTGTTCTTTCTTTATATATATATATATATATATATATATATATATATATATATATATATATGTGTGTGTGTGTTTGTTTAAAAACACACCCACACGGATGGTTCCATGTAATGAGTTATTTCTTAACCTCTTCAATTTTAAGGTCAACCTTTATCTAATATATGCTCCTTAATACTCACTGTTTTAAGTTCTTAGAGCAACCCTCTACTTTGAGTGGCTCTTGGACATGTATTGGGTGGAAAGCTACAAAATTTAAAGCATCGGTCTACAGATATTGAGGCATGTCAGATTTATGAACAACTTGACAGGGCATATGATTAACATCTGTCCGGATACTTTTTCATGTGAAATAAACATATTACATAAACTCTGGAGACTACACAAAATCTGGAGACTTCAACCTGTCTTTATATTGTAGTTGAATTTAAGTTTCATAATAGGAAATTCAGCTTCGAGAACATATAGATACATCGCATTGAATAAATCAACTTCAAAAAGAGCTCTTTTGAGCTAATGATATGATAAAAATTCGTAAGCTTTTTAAAATAGACTTTTAAAATAGATTCAAGAAAGCTACTGTGGTTATTTGTATCGAAGCAAACATTTCGTTAATTAATTGATGAAGGTAACATGCTAAAATGTTAGCTTATTAAATATACTAATCAGCTTCCTGCTCTCGCCTTCTGTTCCGTGTGGTTTGTGTTGAAACACCTCTGAGGTATTTATGATTCCCAACAAATTCGAACTGCGGGATTGTATAAAAATGTGCAATAAGGAAAATCTACTATCAGAAGTTTCAGATTACTTCGTCAACCTTTTGCCAAACAAAGGATACCTCCATTTCCCTTTGCGAGCCACCAGACGTTAAATTACTCAGCTTAGTGTAATATTTAAGATATATGGCAGAGAAGGAGAAATATAGAAATGTTTTGCCTATACATATTATTTTATTGTCAAATACAACAATAATAAAAAATATCTTTTACACATATTAAGCTTGTTTAACAATTAATGGCTAACGCATTACTTGATATGCCTGTTGTAACGTTTGCAAGAATTAATATTAAATCATGCACAAAGTAACATGAACTTTGTCCTCCTGATGACAAATCAAGAAACCTCAAGTTTTGAGAATGTCTCTGATAATCTCGAAGCTTAATCCCATTCCATAGATTATTATAAGATTCCATTAGAGTTGAGAGAGTAGGCAATTCTATCATTCTTATTTTTGTTTGAATTTTATGCATGAGGATTTACACTATTGTGCATATTAATTAAAACA